GTGTAGGCACTGCTAGCCGACGATCCTGTGATGATTGGAGCGGCCGGGCCGAGACGTAAGCCTTTGCAAGAGGATTCAGGTAGATGGGAGCCATACCATCTTGGACTTTGTATGCTAGTGTTAGCAATTTGAATTTGAATTTGAATTTGATGCGTGCTGCTAGCGGTAGCCAGTGGAGCTCAATGAACAGAGGGGTGGCGTGTGCTCTTTTAGGCTGATTGAAGACCAGACGCGCCGCTGCGTTCTGGACCATTTGAAGAGGTCTCACAGTACAGCCTGGAAGACCAGTTAGAAGGGCATTGCAGTAATCGAGACGGGAGATGACAGCAGATTGCACCAGGAGCTGGGTGGCATGTTGCGTTAGGTATGGTCTGATCTTTTGTATGTTATACAGCACAAAGCGACATGAACGAGCAACAGAGGCAACATGATCGTTAAAGGTCAGGTGTTCATCAATCACAACACCCAGATTTCGAACTGCCTTTGAAGGAGCCAGAGATAGGAAGTCATTTTGGATTGAGATATTGTGCTGTATGGATGTTTTTGCTGGGATGACAAATAGTTCAGTTTTAGAGAGGTTGAGTTGGAGATGGTGGGATTTCAACCATTTTGATATGTCAGAGAGACAGTTTGATATTCGTGCAGAGACAGTGTGGTTGTTCCGTGGAAATGACAGATAGAGCTGGGTGTCGTCTGCAATTATATGGCCTTGTCATCTGTATCTTCATAATGCTGCATTTACTGTGAATTAAGTTTTGAATTGAGACTTGTCTTAACAGAAGGATGGTCAGTAGGGCTGGGACCCTGTTACGTCCCCGACAGGTGTTGTAAAAATGTGAAGGATGGGGGTAACATAAGAACTGGCGGAGGAGTTTAAAACGGGTTTATTTGTAACAAAAAGGTATTAAAACACAAGCAAACAGATCTCTCTAAAAAGGTTAACATTACACAGCCAAATGATCAACTATAAAACACCTGGTTAAAACTTATATTAAAAGTTTAACCGAGCAGAAGGTGTTTTAAAATCCCAAAAGTTGATAAAAAGTCCCAAACAATTTACTGATTAAAACACCTGGCAACAGCTTATTTTAAAAGCTTTACCACACGAAGGTGTTTAAAAACCAAAGTCAGTTAAATTGCACCAAATACAGTTAACCTTTAAAAAATTATCACAAGAGTTAAAAACTACCACAGTTTAAAACTCCAAAAATCCAAACGAATGCAACCAAAAAAGGGGTTAAAACCAAACAAAACCCAGGAGGCCAGCAGAACCCCTGCACTGCTGCAGGGGCGGCGTTAGGCCCGGCTACTTGGGCTGAAGCCCCAGATGTTTCACGTTAAGCCCCGGATCTAAATCGCGGAAGTAACATGCAGTACCAAATAGGGCTGCAACAAACGATTATTTGGATAATCGATTAATCGGATGGGATCTCGACACGATTAATCGATTAATCGGATTACATAGGGACATTTTTAAAAACTGCTAGGGAAACGTTATTTTTCTCCTTCCTTCACTTTATTAAACACAACATTATTAGAAAACAGTTCAATAGCAAAAAAACAACATGCCATCACCTATAAGGTGTATAGACAAAGACCCTAAGCTACACCTATCTGTGACCTTAAATGCTTGGTCCAAGTTAAACAGCTTAAAGAGCAAGTCAACCCCTACCAGAGTCTAACTCCACTCCCGCTTCATGTTTGAAAAATGCAACACATGCTGTTGCCTGGCAGACCGAGAGGGCGGAGCCGCTAACAAATACACACACACTCAGGCTCACGACAGCATTGTGACATCATAATGTACCAGTTTACATCATAGCATACTTCTTAGCCAATAGTGGTGGCAGATTTAAATTAAAATACAGTGCAGAGTTTTTACCTGACAATGGCACAACACTGCCAGTTTGAGGCAGAATATTTAAATTTTAACTAAGATGCGCTTAAGTGCCAAATTATTGACGACACGTGTCTGCAGCACGATTAGACACTCGTTTATTTAGTTTATCAGCAAAAAAAGTTTATTTGGGGGTGACTTGCTCTTTAAGGGCAATTCTCATCTGTTTTGTTTGATCTCATCTGTAGACATTTATTATAATTGGGGATGTCAAACAACTAATTTTTAAATGTAATTAAACATAGGCTGTGAATTAATCAAAATTAATCACTATTTCCAAAAATGACTGAAACAATACCAAATAAAACAAAAATAAATGAATGCCATCCTCCTTGCGATGATGCCCTGGGCAACTGCCATAAAGTCACATCAAGAAATGTTGCTGATCATTCCAATGATCCCAAATAGACTCACATTAGGCCACATGAAAGCAACTGAACCCAAAAATATATTAACCAGTATATAACTGCACTCACACAACACGCCTGCAGCAACAGTTAGGACTCCTCCCTCCCTTTTAAGAGCGTTTTCGCTTCCGAGGACATTGTGGTTGTAAACCCACATGTTAGTAGTCTGGCCCCAGTGAGATCAACCAGTTTCTGCGGGAATGTGACGGCGGAACCGGTTCGCAGCGGCGCGAGTCCCCCACCCCCACCCCCCCACCCCCCCTCACCCCATCTAATAGCGTCACGCTTACAATTTTATAGACATTTTTTTATGAGCTTAGGGCATGTCTAGTGTGTGTAATAATCCGGGGCTTGGGTGAATCACTTTTGAAAAGTTTTTAACTTACCCGGACACCGAGCTCTATCGATTCGTTGTTGCAGCCCTAGTACCAAAGTCCAACAGAGAGGGTGCTGCTGGCAGTAGTTTGTATACAGCCTGCCTGAGCCACCACCACTGAAGAAGCCCTTCAGCAGCTGGCTTCTTCTACACTCTCTGCCTGAAACGCATGAGTGAAGATGGACATAAGGGTATTTTTTAGACCAAAAGTACAACGACAGAACCCCAGCTTTGATGAGACTGGTGCTGACTCAGGTTTGTGAGTCTTATTTGAAAATATTTGTTGTGCTGCTGGTTTGCCTAAAGTTAGCTTACTATCAGGTAAAGTTGATGGAGATAGAAAGGGAAAATTTACCATCATCTCACACTAAACACTAACAGGAACAATACTCTGCCCTGAATATGCTTAATATGTAGCTTCATATGGTGTCAGGTTTCCGCCAAAACCCGTGCAAGAGTAGCCAAAACCCGTGCACGCGTATTGTCCACATCGCGCGTGCGAACGGGACTCGCGCGTGGATGTTAGAATCTCACGAGTGAAAATATACATGGCGAGGAGGTCATTTGTACACTGAGAGGGAGCAAACTGTGTCTGTGAGCACACAAGGATGTGCACAAGTGACAAACCTGCGTGCGCGGGTTGGCCAACGAGCACACGGCAGAGGAAAACATGCGCGCGGCAGCCTTTCTGCACGCTCGGTGCGGCAGCCTCACTGCGCGTGCGGTAGCCTTTCTGCGTGCTCGGTTTCTGATTCTGCTCGCTCGGCTGTTGGGAGTTTTGGCACTCTGGAGGCGTGGAAGAATTCAAGTGCCAGAAACTGAGCAGTTGAACTTTCAATTTGAGAGCAGAATTTCATATCAAGAGACCAACTTTTTAATTTCAGAATACGATTTTTTATTATTGCTCTCAAAACTTGTAATGCTTGCGCTCAAAATGTCTGCTCTCTTTCAAATTCACTCTGTTCTTCAAATCTTTGTTTTTGCGCTCAGGTTTAACCTTCTTACACTGGTATTGTCTTCTCACGTGACAACTTTTTCTCTGCATGGATCAAAACTCCTCCCACAAGTCTGTCCTCTGCTCTCACGGATCTTGTCTGCTCTCGCTCAAAACTTAGAAGTACAATCTCCTAGCAACCGCTCAGCCAATAGAAAGACTTGTGGGACTGGGCGGGAACAAACCTCTTTGGGGTGCACTCGTTTTGACGCTCTGTGGATTTTCCTGTGTGGCTGTCGCACCTGCGCACTAACAGCTAATACCCGCCCTGATCTGGAGCAGGAGTTTCACCTGCACCAGCAAAATGGACCAGAACCAACAAGACGCTCAAGTAAGTTATTTTTCAAGGCTACTAGCTGCAGTTTATTCCATAAAATTGTTTTGTTATGCTACTTTTTACAACTCCTCGCATTTAATATTGCAACAGGGGCACTGCCAGGTGGATTAGGGTCCTACATGGAATAAAATGTCCGGTGTTTCATCCAGGAACTGGGATCGAGTTATGAGGTGCTAGATATCTGTCAGGGAAAGATCCAGAAATGTTTTCTAGAGCGGTGTTCCCCAGAGTTGGATAAGTGAATGATAAAGGATTGTTTTAACCAGCGCAGTAATTCTTATCTGCCAGCAGTCTGTCTGCTTTAGATTAGAATAAACCATGTAACTTAATGAGAGGTTGTAGCATTTTGTGTGCAAAACTGTAAAATTACTAAATTATGATACCAGTTATTCCTGTTGAGCTCAATAATCATGTTGACTGCAAATGAAAAGTAAGAAGTAACACATTTGCAGGAGCCAATTTAGACAAATTCAAACTTCAAACATGCACGTAAGCAATATACAGAATATTTTAATTACATTTCATGTTAATCATTATTGTTTACTTAATGATTGTTGGTCACTGATTTAAAAAAATGTCTTTAATAGATTTCCTGTCCATTGTGTGATAAAGAATTTACTCAGGAGTCTATACAACTGCATGCCAGCTTTTGTGGTGAAGAGGAAGAGGACAGGTGCATGTTTTTACCCATGCACGTTGTACACAATATGTTATGAGAGTTTAATCTTTTTTTTGTTTGTTTCCACATCTGAACAGCATCATACTGGATGTGGATGACTCTTCCAAGCACTTAAGCTGGTTAGAATTTTTACAAACATTTGTGTTAATGTGTAGGTTTTAAAATAAATAATAATAAACACAATGTTGTTGTCAATAGCTTATCAGACATCCTGAAGTTCCTACAAGAAAGAGTTGACAACACTAAAACCTTTAACATAATGTGACAAGGGACGACCTTTACCAGAGAGGTCTGAAACAGCGGGCCAGACAGAAGCAGGCTTCCCCCAAAAACCAGCTAATTGTTTCCTTTTTGGAGAACAAGGCATTGATGAAGGAGCACTACGCTGAGAGTTCCTAACCGGTATGTATTCCTTGCTAATGTCAACATACCAACTTTGAATATAGTTGAAAATGGCAAACTGTCATTTCTTTTTTCCCAATAGAAATGATGCGAGGCCTTGAGTTGAACTTATTTGAAGGAGTTTCATGCAAAGGCAAAAACCCCAAATATAGTATCTCTTACTACCAGGAAAACAGATACAGGTATGTACAGTATGATGCTGCTCTGCAGTGTAACTTGGCTTGTTTTGTGTTCAGGATCTGTGGGGAGATCATTGCCACCAGCTTGGTTCAAAGAGGACCAGCACCGAATTTCTTTTCTACTTGGTCCTACCATTTCTTGTGTCATGGACAAATAACAAATGAAGATGTGCCAGAGGTGACTGATACGGAAACCCAGAACCTGATTCAGGAGGTAAATTAAACAGAATAATTTATTTTCTGTAAATTGTACTAAAGTGTTTCTGATTGAAGGTGGAACGTGCCGAAGAAGACGCACTGACAGACCTTTCTGATGCCATTGTAGCATGTGGCTACACCGGTCCAATTAACAGCGATCACAAGGCCATCATTGAGTAGGCTATGTTAATGTAGCATTAAACAAGTCATGCAATTTTTAAAAATGAGTTATTACAAGTTCATTATTCTTTTTAATAGGGCCATCAGTTTGCATTCAGTGATGAGACTCATACCGATGCTAAGGCAGCTTAGAGAAGGACTGGCCATTTAGGGTTTGGATGAGCTGTTACCACAACACCACCAGGCACTTCAGCCCCTCTTTCTTCCTGGGAACCTTAAACAGGTAAGTACAAATTCTTTAGGCCTCTGCAAAAAAAAAAAGTCCATTAAAAAAACATATAGGAAATGCAGAGAAGCTGAAGTTGTTTTTGTTCCATCAACAGTTCTAATCAATTCTTATAAAAATACTAAGAATCAAATCGATTCACAAGTACAAGAATCTGTTTGTTTAACATTGTTTGCCCCAATTTATTTTTTACAGCTATCATTTTTTTTACAGACAGCAATTTTAAGTTTTCTTTAAGGAAGCTATCAGATGTATTTTTTATTCTAATATCATGACAATTGAAGTTTTATATATTTTAGTGGTATACATCTTCATTTTCTTATATTAATTTAGCTCTGCGGGATAAGCAGAAGGAAAATTTGTATAACTGAAAAATGTCCTATATTTATTTGAGTTCTTAAGTAATCATAAGAATAGTCCATTACCTATTTGATAGCTGCAGCCCTAACAGTTTTATCACAGTATTTTTAAAAACGTCTTTTGTAGGTGGATGCTGACTTCGTGGTGGAGGCACTAGCTCCTCAGTACAGTGACAATGGATCAGTAAGACACAAAGGAAGTGGACATGATCAACTTTTTGCAGGACCTCTTGCAAAACCTGGAAGGAGGTAGCCACAGAACCATGCAGGATTATTCCACTTTTACTGCTCATAATGCTTAGCTCTTTTTAAAATTGTTATGTTCAGTGCCTTGGGCTCCTGTAAAGGCAGTGGAAGGTGTTACGTAAATAAAAATTGATTGATTGAGAAAATTTTGAAGTGTCAGAGAGACCATTGTGTTTCACCCAATCCCCCATCAAATAAAAAAAATAAAAAAATAAATTATAAATATATTTGTTTTGAAACTGATTTAGCCATTACACCTTAATTAGACAATAAAGTAACTGGCTAATTACAGAGAGGTAATCAGTACCTCAATCATGTTAGTGACACACTGATTTTTTTTTTCACCCTTCAGGAACAGATGACCAAGATGGGAGCCCATCAGATGGCTGTGGAGCAAAGCAGTTGTCAGTGCAAGGATTTTTTTCAGTGGGTTTCAGGCCAGGCACATGCGCCACTAACAGACACAGAAAGAGAATTTTACAAGATAACTGTAAATGTTGATCACGACAGTACCACCTGGTATGGACCACACTTAATCACCTTACCTACACGGCACATTACTACATACACTGACTTTTAAAGTCGGCTTACTCAGGCAGTCTGTGATGGATTTGATTTTAGCAGACATTAAATGAAAACAAGATGGCCACTGTTCTGGGTTCAGGTTACTGTATAATGGTTCAAATTTAACTTTGAATCCAAAAAGACCAATTGTTTTCTTAAATAATGTAATGTTTTGGGGCTAGAAAGCGACATTGTTACATGAATCAATAAAGTTAGGCTTATTGCCATTTCAAATACATGTTACGTATTTCTTTTGTAACATTAAAAAAAGCACTGGAACTGATCTCTTGATTTTTTACTTCAAGTACACATTAATCTGACAAAGCAGCATTAACATATTCTCTGCACAATAGATAAAGTTCCTTAGTGTCTGAACGCTCCCAATTTTGTGCCAGTAGCAACTGCAGTTCAGCATGCTGCTCTTCAGTGAGGGGACTGTCGAACTCCGGGACCACAACAGCACCGTCCACATCTGGGCTGTACTCTGCTGCAACATCCCAGTCGATGTCTGGCTCTTGGAAATCCTGACATTACAACAAGAGAACAATGATGATTTTTCTATATTGAGCTGCAATTTGTCAACAAATAAGCAAAATTTCCTAAATTTTAATAGAAACCAAATTATCACATTGTGTATACAGGGTTGTGCAGGATTACTATATATACCAAAATTAGATAAAAAAATAGCAGGGACAAGAATAACAAAAATTCAAAATGGTTTTGATTTAGAACTTTTACTATTTTGCAGGGGTGTAATTGTCATTTACTTACATCGCCGTAATTAAGTACAGTTTGCAATTTAAAATTTTTAACCTTTAGTAGGTTTTAGGGCTGGTTGATGGATAAAAGCATATTAATTTAAAAAAATCTAATCGATCGATAGATAATTATTTCAAAATTTTAAAACCATGGCAGAGAATATATATTGAAGTGCATCCCTGGCCATTTTATGCTATTTCTTTAAGCGACAGTCTGTAGTTTTCTGCCACTAGGGGGCAGTATGTACCTAAATCATAACAAGCAAGCTACATTTTTGTGTTCTGTGAGGGGCCTACCAATGAATAGCCGTAAAGGCCACAAAAAAAGCACTGGGAGTGTTGAGTGCAATTTTTTAACGGGCTAACTACCTTGTCAGATCGTTCAACCTCCTGCAAAATGACAACAAGCACATCGGACTCCCTTTCATCAGTCAGCAGTAGAGAAATGCCATATTTCACATTCAGTATCTTTTAAAGCGGCGTTCAGTATGTTCATAGAGCTCCTCATTTAGCTTCATGTTTGTGTTTCAATCTTTATTGAAATAATTTTTTAAACTTCCTGTAGAAAGCGATGAGATCGTGACGTAACATTTTTTTTATTTTTATATAACTTTATTAACAAACAAAGCTTACAGGCAGATGTAACTGCTGGTTGTTGGAACTGTGAGCTGCACAAAAACAGGCATAGTTGCTCCAATGACTGGATTCAAATTGGGTTTTGGAGAGTTAGAAACCTACTCAATATAGCGGTGAAGCAGTTACTCTCCAGCAGCCAATGATGTCTATGGTACGGCTTATGTACAAAGAAACATGCTGTCTAAAGCCTGGTTCATGCTTCTCCGTCAGCTCCGCAAGGGTCAGACACGCACAGACTGACGGAAGCGTTTTGCTCTCATACTTCTCCGTCTCCTGGAGAGTGTTGCAAAGCAATTCCTCGGCAGGACAACAGAGGGCGTAGCGCTGTTCTGTGGTATCCTGTCATGTATCGGTCCAAGATAGTGTGTTTATATTGTGTTTTTTTGTATATATAAGAGACTTTTAACACGGACAAATTTGTTTCTCATTCTCCTCCACCTCTTCATGCGCTCGCCACCTCTAACCCCATGTTTCCTGTCATTTCTGTCCACAAATAAAACACTTGCTGCGCATCTTTTCACTCCTCCAGTCACGGGAGGATGAAACGTTCATATTTTTAGAGTTTTTTCGCGAGGTATTCTTCAAGCTGCTCCGTGTCTGCCGCTAGTTATCCTCGGCTCTCCGTTTTTGAGGGCGCAATGGCGGCGGTGTAGACAACCAATCACAAGCTTGCGTTGTCCGTCTCGACTGACGGCTCTTTAGAAAAGAGAGCTCGACTCCGTCCGTCCTTGCGGAGCTCTCCGGCAGGCACGCAAGGACGTTGCGTGTCTCCGCAATGACGCAGACGGAGAAGCATGAATCAGGCTTAAGGCTACGTTCACACTGCAGGTATTAAAAATCCATTTAGATTTTTTGAGTAAATTTAATTTTTTGTGTGGTTGTTCACATTATAACTGAAATACAACAGCTAACACTCTCCTGCGTTAACGTTAAAAGTGATCCGCATGTACAGAAGAGAACAAGAACTCACATACTAGGAGCTCTGTGGAGTCTGAACTGAGAGGTGGAGCTGTGATCCCAAGAGCTTCACTGACAGACTTCATCCACAATTCCAGGATCACACCTGTCAAGTCTCCTGTTTTGAGCTGGAAACTATTTTCAAAACTAAACTATTTTACTCCTTATTCCCACAGTCGTCCCATGTTAGTATTTTCCCTCACTTAAGCCGCTTTCACATCTGGGTCGGCATGGACGCGTTCGGAACCAAATGTTTTGTTCACATATGGCTCACATGCGTGTATTTCGTTCTGAGGAGAATTCTTTTTTCAGACTACTTCCCTCGGAGGTCCGGCTGGTGCCGAGCAGACACTATGGACTGATTGGCAGCTGAAACTCACACCTACCGCCTCCGATTGGGGAGTTGGATCAAACACCGGGGGGTTTCCGCATGCGTGATTACTTTTCATCCTGGTTGCTGTTTAGCCCACATGAAGCACTGAGCTGCTGTCTCCCGCTCCGCAGCAGAGGAGGACAGCAGTGTGTGTGTGTGTAGCAGCGGATATAAGGACACGTCTGCAGCGGAGGACACTACAGCGCTGAAGTAGGAAGGATTAGAGGAGAGCAGATTATTAGAGAAGCGCAGTGTGTGTTGGTGCAGCGGTTTGATGAGGAATTATTGTTTAGCAGAGGCGGACACCGCAGACTTCTTCCGCGCGTCTTTACCGCCGCCCACATGCTCGGGGATTTCCGCATTCCTGAGAAGCCCTGGGAATCACATGTGAACAAGAAACCACCCGTTCTATTCCGAAATCACGTGGCTGAGCCCCGACCATAGCAAAACATCAAAAACCGGAACCAGAAAAACTTTTAGCGCTGAACTCACCTTCAAAATTAAATGTTAACCCTAACGTTTACAGTTGAAACCATTACAACATGTTTGAGGTAATTTGGCCACTCCGGCTCTCTGTAGTGGTTTCCCAATTACACGAGGGAGGGAGGGGTTAACAGAACTCCGTTGGTAACCACGGTGAACAGGCTTGATGAAAAATGAATGAATATCCCCAAATAATTAAAAACCATGAAGTCAAATGCAAAGTTTAGGGCAGAACATTGACCCAGAGGTTTTCTGATTGAGCAGATTTGTGAGAATACATGAAATGATCGCTTAGAGACGGAGCAAGCTAGTTGCTAGCTTATGAGGCTTGACTAGTTATATCAATACAAAGTCACCTTGTTTCTCGTTTTAAATTATATTGATAATTTTAAAATATCTATTTATTGCCCAGCCCTAACTGTAGCCTATACTACACTGCTTACATTATTTCAGAATTTAATTTCACTATGTAAAAAAAAAATACAGTCAAGTGTAAAAAGCCTCTTTCTAAGATGAATAATAAAGCATCATTGGAATAATTTAATTTCTAACCATTGAATAGACCAATACAGATGTCAAATATTTACATTTCTACACTTACCCTACCTTGACATTTCTTGATGAACTGTAGACCGAGGGATAGTCTGTTAAGGTGTTGTCGCTGGTGTTGTGCGCTGTGGCACAGTTGGTGTTTGTTGCGGGCCCTCTGCTTGTAGATGAGCATTCAGTAAATCCATAAGGTTTCTCGTAACTTCTCGGATGGAACCAGTCTAAAGAAATAAAACAAAAAACACAGAAAAAGTTGTATTTGGTTATACAGCAAATGGGAAACACCTACATATTGAAAAAAATTGTAATTGGCTTGCACATTTATTGAAATTTATCAAGTCCAAGGCCTACAAAGCACTTTACACAAAAGCCACACCCTTTTCATATGCTTACGGTGGTGATAAGCCAGATAGTAGCTACAGCTGCCCTGGGGCACACTGACAGAGATGGGCCTGCTGAACACTGGCACCACCGGTCCCTCCGACCACCAACAGCAGACAACGTTGGCTAAGTGTCTTGCCCAAGGACACAACAGCAGCACTCTCTGGTTGGAGCTGGGATGGAACCTGCTGTTTATCTGGCCCTGACCATGCACCAACCTGCTTCCATGAGAATTTCAGGACTAAACTTTTAATAAAGCTTTTAAACATTTTCTTATTTTCTGGTGTCATTACAGGTCCTCCAACTCAGCCATTACATTCATCTTCCTCTACATCTTCCGTGGTTTAACATGCAACAGTGAATTGTGCTGCATCATGGTACCACAGTCTGTGTAGTACAAAATTTTGCGCATTTCACAGAAAACAAATGTTAGTTCGCTTACACCAGAAATATAACCTTACTCATTGCTGAGACTTAGAAACAGAAACTGTTTTTGTTTTGTTACTGCTTATGTAACCCCAGACTCAGTATTAGTAAGTTAGGCTCATTATGTTTAAAGACCAGCGGCTAGGTTAGACAGGATTACAAAAAGAAATAATGCGAGTGCAAAATGAAATGGCAGGAGGCAGGAATTGAGCAAAAATAGAAATTGTTATTTTTTGGGGGAAATGACTACTGGATTACACTCACTTAACATAGCATTAATATTTTCAGAAACATACCAACAGATTCAAAGCTAGCTGACGCGCTAGTCAAGGCAGGTGTTGTGTCAAAATGTGTTTCCCTATCAAAAACCGTTTTCTCCTACGGCTTTGGTCAAAATTTTCCATCGTTCAATTATAACGAGTTTTACTTTTTAATAACATTCTCTTACTTTGATGACCCATTTTGTTCATTACAGCGCGAGAAAAACATTGTGAGAATTTATGTCGGTTGATGAAACACATTTTGATAGTTAGCAGTTAGATGAGGAAACGATGTTCATGGAGTAAACGCTAACGAATAACTACTGTAATGTCCAAAGAGCTAACTATTAAAAACGGAGGTGGGAATACTAAACAAAAAACATCTACACTAGGTCCAGAGCTAGCATTGGGGACGAGTGATATGTTAGGGTAAAACTCAAATCTGGTAAGGCCATTTTATAAAAGTTGTAGCTATCGTGAATAACCTAATCCACCTAGCTGTGCCCCTGTTGCAATATTAAATACGAGGAGTCGTAAAAAGTAGCATAACAAAACAATTTTATGGAATAAACTGCAGCTAGTAGCCTTGAAAAATAACTTACTTGAGCGTCTTGTTGGTTCTGGTCCATTTTGCTGGTGCAGATGAAACTCCCATCAGAGCGGGTATTAGCCTGGCTGTTAGTGCGCAGGTGCGACAGCCACACAGGAAAATCCACAGAGCGTCAAAACGAGCGCACCCCAAAGAGGTTTGTTCCCGCCCAGTCCCACAAGTCTTTCTATTGGCTGAGCGGTTGCTAGGAGATTGTACTTCTAAGTTTTGAGCGAGAGCAGACAAGATCCGTGAGAGCAGAGGACAGACTTGTGGGAGGAGTTTTGATCCATGCAGAGAAAAAGTTGTCACGTGAGAAGACAATACCAGTGTAAGAAGGTTAAACCTGAGGGCAAAAACAAAGATTTGAAGAACAGAGTGAATTTGAAAGAGAGCAGACATTTTGAGCGCAAGCATTACAAGTTTTGAGAGCAATTATATAAAATCGTATTCTGAAATTAAAAAGTTGGTTTCTTGATATGAAATTCTGCTCTCAAATTGAAAGTTCAACTGCTCAGTTTCTGGCACTTGAATTCTTCCACGCCTCCAGAGTGCCAAAACTCCCAACAGCCGATCGAGCAGAATCAGAAACCGAGCACGCAGAAAGGCTACCGCACGCGCAGTGAGGCTGCCGCACCGAGCGTGCAGAAAGGCTGCCGCGCGCATGTTTTCCTCTGCCGTGTGCTCGTTGGCCAACCCGCGCACGCAGGTTTGTCACTTGTGCACATCCTTGTGCGCTCACAGACACAGTTTGCTCCCTCTCAGTGTACAAATGACCTCCTCGCCATGTATATTTTCACTCGTGAGGTTCTAACCTCCACGCGCGAGTCCCGTTCGCACGCGCGATGTGGACAATACGCGTGCACGGGTTTTGGCTACTCTTGCACGGGTTTTGGCGGAAACCTGACACCATACTCGCCATGTATATTTTCACTCGTGAGATTCTAACATCCACGCGCGAGTCCCGTTCGCACGCGCGATGTGGACAATACGCGTGCACGGGTTTTGGCGGAAACCTGACACCATAGCTTCAGATTAAAAATTATGTGGTACAAGACATATATATATGATGTTGACTAGTGCGTGTCACGTGTGTGTGTGTGCGTGCGCGTGTGTGTGCGTGCGTGTGTGTGTGTTAAGCCCCGGATTTTCTTCAGTCCTAAATCTGCCCCTGCACTGCTGCCTCCCAGACTGCTGAAGGCACAGCCCTTTTGTGCAGGTGTTTGCTCATCATGATGATTCCTCACAGCTGTGCTCCTCAGCAGCCCGGGAGAGAGGAGGAGGAGGGGCGGTGTCAGGCTGATTCACCAGGGCTTGGTGATCCTGGCTGCTTCTCTCCACAGGCCAGCCTGGCATCTGTCACAGACCCCACTATGGTTGGTAGTACAACTCAAATACATTTAAAAAGAACCTGATTGTTTATTTAGCATGGATTGTTACGGAAAAATTGGCGAGTAAAAATAAATAAATAAATGAAAAATAATGTAATGGCTGCACATAATAAAAGGTTGCTAACAGAGGTGGAGCCAAGTGATGACTAGACCTCAAGTCTCAGATACCTTTTTTTCTATTCATGTTAGAACATGATGTGATTATGTGTGTGTGTGTGTGTGTGTGTGTGTGTGTGTGTGTGTGTGTTGTATGAAAGATGGAACGTACTTTTGCTAGTTTTGTTAAGTAACAAGGAGCGGATAATTACAACATTTTCTTCGTCTGGCCCCGTTTCATTCAACATTGTATTGTTTCTTATTGTTTTTGTTTTTTTGCAAACTTCATATGTGTGTATATATATATATATATATATATATATATATATATAAATATATATGTGTGTGTGTGTGTGTGTAACCCCTACGTTGTGGTTATGCAACACAGCAGCATGGAAGGAATATCAATTCTAGGTTCAATGAGGAGTTTGTAACTTATTTACCCAAGCGATGGTTAGACATCCACCCAAACAACACACATGACAAAGAACTAGCAATGATATAAAATGTATTGACGATAGTACCCATAAACAACTTAAATGTCCATCAGTTTTTTTTCTTTTATACATAGATAACTCAACAGTATAAGAACAAAAATTCCTCTGAGATCTCAGGAATGAAATAATATAAACCCCAATGTCCAAAAGTTCAAAATAATATGAGTGCACTCAAGCCCTACTGCCCTCTCAACCGAGTATGTCCAAAAAAAAGAAAAGAAAATGGTCTGGGATGGGCAATCCAGTCACTGTTGAAGCAGATGGCAGCAGGTGAGGCTCTCTCCAACTAACCCCTCCAAAGGAAAAACCAGCCTGTACAGATGCACAGGACAATCACTTTTCAAGTCTATAGAGCTCCGGACCCCACGTGACTCTCAGTTAGTAGACGCCATATTGGCAGGTAAAAGAAGCTAAACAAACATGGATCGTAACCATGAACGTGAACGGGATCGGCTTGGATTTTACTTCGGAGTTTACTTCACACTTTAAAACCGAAGAAATCGTTTTATATAGTCAGAAATTAAATAGACTAAACATCTCCGACCCTTACCGTGCCCCTGGGATACTTTTTAAAAACGCCAGAAGCTGTCGGAGCGGACTTCTTACCGGACCTGGCCGGGGAATCCCTTGGGGTTTACCCGGAGGAGCTGGCCCAGGTGGCTGGGGAGAGGGAAGTCTGGGCCTCTCGACGCTACTGCTCCCGCAACCCGACTCCGGATACGCGGATGAAAATGGATGGACAAATAACAGATTTACACGTAAGTAGTTTAAATAGAGTGCTGTGCTGTTTGAATGTATAAACTGAACGCCATGAGAAATCACTAGTTTGATTGTTTCCCGTGAATAAATAAATATGTCAGGCAGGAGCATCTCAGGATCTGTCTCGGTGCGACAGATAATAGAAATCCAAAGTGCTTTTTATGTGTGATCTGACAATTGATCAACCATTGCTTAAAAATTAAATACAGCTTAGCCGGTTAATTGCTGTGATCATAAAACACGTAAACGGCAGCACGCAGAACTCACGAGGCAACGTTTTACGTGACGGTTACTTGTTGCTATGAGTAATAAGACAGAAAAAGCCACACCAAAATAAGTTTAGGAAGCCCACTAAGAATCGCAATAAAAGCATTTAAAATAAATACCATACACAGTTGAGGAAACGTTGGTTTAAGTACCTGATATGAAGCGGTCGCTGCATAAGCGAAATCCTTTACTCTCGGGGTCCCACAGCTTCATTTTAGCCCGGTCACTAGCGCGTTTTATTGCAATAATCCAACGTTTGCGGCGCTCCAGATCTTGGGGAATCCTGTAGATGGCTCATTCCTTATGTCGTCCGCATCTGTTCTGCATCCTGGGGCACAACAGAAATCTACCATATTCCCTGTCTGATTGAGTTTTCTGACAATAATAAATAGTCCAGCTGCCGGCTTCTACCTGCCAATATGGCGCCGTTTTGATTTGAATTGTTGCATGCTGGGAGAAGTGACGTCAACTCCCAGAGCTCTATACAACCTACAGTTAAATAACCATTTTTCCATAAGATTCATTATAATCAACTCACAGGAACATATTGCTTAACATGTAATAATTGCAATTTGAAATAACATTGAAAACTCCCTAAAATTAACTAAATCTCTTTAATTGTTGTTGCAACCATAGTTGTGTATTTCTGCAATT